AAATTAAAGTAAATATTTAAGTTACTAGTTTCACTTAAATTACTATTATCTGTTAAGTTATCCAAAAATGAAGGAATAAATTCATCTCTATATGACCTATTGCCAGTTTTAACACCTTTAAACATTTTTAGTAAATTCCAAATCTTACTAATGGGTGTTGTTCTGCTGAAAGTATTAGTTAGATTATTCCAACCAATTTTTTTCTGCTCTGCTATCGTTCTTTTTTTCTGTGCATCCTTTCTTTTATAATTAATATAATTCTCCATGGATGGTACATTTCTATATAATTTTAAAGCATTATAAGATGCAATGACACTTTGTTCGCAAATATCATTCCACCAGGGTGTTGGCAATCTCCTTTTGAAACTTTTGGATTTTGTAAGTTTAGGAATTGTCATATTTTTTAATGTATCCAAACTAGAGCAGAAAGTATTATATGTTAATATAGGGTCATTTGAATTTAGGGTAAAATTATTGAAAACTTTGTGGGAAAGAGTGTTGTATTTCGTCCAATTTGCCTTTTTATATAAAAATCTGTCTACTGGTGAACCAATGTAATATTTATCAATAGTTAAGGCTATTTCTGTTATTGTAGGGAAATGATAGCTTCCCATGGCATTGTCATGAACAGACCACTCACACATTGATGCAAGACTAGCACTGATGAAGCTAATATCAATAGCAGAAGGGTTTTGTCTGGGATGGTTGACTGTTGTAAATCTACCATCATTTAAAATGCATAAATCTAAGTCGTCAATAATATTTAATAAGCTATGGCCTCGACTCTTAGAAGATAAACAACCAAATGCTATATGATGAGCATTAAAGTCACCACTTACAAATATTGGTTTTGGAAGATTATTAATTATATTATGTAATCTATTTAATCTGATATGACGACTAGTAGGTGGACAATAAACACAAAGAACAGTCAAATTACCACTTACCGTTGATAAAGATAAAGCAGCAGTTTGAATGTCCTCATAGAATCTAGTGTTAATAATATTGTACTTGAGATATGACTTAATCAAAATTGCCACACCATTATGACTATTGTTTGAATTTTTATTATAAATATTGTAACCTGGTATTTTAAATTTGTTATCTTTGAACCAAGTTTCGTTAAGTAGGCATATATCAATGTTTTGTTGTTGCAAGAATTGAATGAGCAAGGGTTTTTTACTATTTGCACTT